TTGGGAAATCCCGCGATCGTGCGATTATCGCAAGGTGTGTGGAAGGCGTGCGACCGTTTCTCCGTTTCTACTGTACGGTCGCACGACTTCAGTTTTTCAAACATGTTCGAGAATCGTACGATTTTCGGTTGGTTTGTAGCATGATCGTAAGATAAATGCCGCACGGGCCGGTGTGCGCAAGCGCACACTGCCAGTTCAGCATTGCGGTCATTGGAAGCCTGCCTCTCAGCGGGGCGGGCTTGCGATTATTGCAAGTACGATCTGCCTATCCAAGATGGGCAGATCGTACGTTTTTTTAAATTACCTTACAACCATCCAAGACAAAAGTCTTGCAATAGTTGTAAGGTGTGTGGTCTGCTTTAGAGTTTTTTTTCTGGATCAGCTGCAGGTTTAGAGTTCTGACGTAGCAAGGTTTTTAATGTATTCATTTTTGTGTTTTGGTTCAACTCATTGGACATGTGTCTTCTTTACTACCTATTTACCTTCTGTAGCCCATGACAAATTAATCTGCATGTATATGGGCAGTATTACAGCACACTGCATTTGACTTATGCAAACCTTTCCTAAAATACACATGGGGGCTGCCATTGCTGATCCCCGTCTGCTTTTTTTAGGTGACTGGTCGGTACACTGATCAACTGGGTTCAATTCAGTTTGAGTCACTGACACATGCATACCAGAGTAAAGTCAGACATTGAACTAACAGCAGCCTGGCAAAGCATTCATAACAATGTGCTGTTTCTACTATTAATGTGCCCAAAGCTTCTTGGATACACACTTCAAAAACATCCTGAACTCTGCTCCAACTTCGAGCTCCAGGCAGGGCAGGGCAGTCCCACACACCCCTCCTCTTTTCCCCCAGATAAGCATCTTGCAATACAAAGCAGATACCTATTGGATGATGAGGCTTATGGACTGGATTATGGGATATTGTGAAGCTGCAAAACTAAGCAAATCTGAGGATTTCAGCAAGTCTGCACCCTGGTGTAGAAATCTCTTTGGCCCTCACACAACAAACCTTGGACACATGTAGGTGTGAGCAAGCACCCTGTGCTGCCTGCTTTCTGCTCCAAAAAAAGGTTTGGAAAAACTACAGGTCCACTTTAAAATGAATGCCTGAGTAGAAATAATGAGAACTGCCCTTCCTGATTTGGTATTTAAAAGGTTTAGTCTTCAAGGGTGATCAAACGTATCCTGGCTTCACTACATAGTCGCTAAAACATTCCTCCAGGCCCTGGGGATTGCCCCCTGAAGAAAAAAAAAAGTCCATAATGGAAGCTCTATTTCTATCTTCAAAAATAATTTTTAAGGTGTTTAAATCTACAACAAAAAGTAAACATTTAATATATTACAGCTTACAAGACCTTAGAACAGGGGTCTCAAAGTGCCGGCCCATGGGCCAATTCCGAATGGGTATCCCGCGGCCTGCAGCTGACTGGCTGAAGGGAACGGGGGGTGGAATTTTGTGTGTGTGTGTGTGGGGGTATATTGTGCGAGTATTAGCGCGTGTGTGTGTATATTACTGTGTGTGTATGTGTCTGCGTGTGGGGGGGGTTATATTATTGGGGGTGTATTAGTGTGTGTGTGCGCATATTTCTGTGTGAATGTGGGAAAAAGACACACACACAGACTCTGCGTACATATACACATGTATACATACGGATATGACACACACAGAAACATTAACACACGTACTGACATCACTCACAGAAATCCTGACAATACACACACACAAACCATCATTAAAAAAATATGCTGACATTGCATACAAAGAAACCATCAAAACACATACACTGACATTATAAACACACACAGACATAGCGTAACACCGGTAGCGTATACATTTACATTTTGTTTTGGAAGTATCACATTTTATGAAATTTGACAAGCGGCCCCCATGGGAGAGGAAAATGTGTCCTGTGGCCCCAGAGTGAATTGAGTTTGAGACTCTTCAACTCTAAGGTGGATATGGTGGTTGTATTTGTTTTCTTTGTACACGCTAGTTAGTTAACACACTTCCTGTCCTAGGGTGACAACACATTTATTCACTGCATCTACTGAGGAGCTTCACCCTAGGAAAAGAAGTGTTAGGACTACAGATCAACTCCCACTCTCCATAACAGGGAGAAGATGTTTTCCGTGGTCCTAACGCACACGCTGATAACATTGTTTGGACTAACACTGTAGGAGTACACCGCACACCACTGGATTCCTAGCAGGGTCAACAGGTATTTTAACAGTATATTTTAAATTCCAAAAGGGAGCAAATTAGAGAAGTTCATTGGTGGGGAGACATGGGCTTAGTGCAACACATACGTTGCCATTGCTGATATCCTTAAAGTGACCTTGTCAGTGTAGTAACATTCCTGCTAAAAGAATAGGCAATATACTAACATTTCCGGCTGCCTGTGTCTTGAAATGCGCCACTTCAAAGCTCCCCAGCCGCTGCAAGTATTCCCCACTCCCAGTTGCATGCAATACCTTCTCCCCTGTAGCACCCTGTGGGTTCACTGCAGCCCCATTCACACCAGGGCGTATCGTGATGTCAAATGTACGCGCTTCGATGTGCGTTCACAATACATGCACAAATGCGGAATGCGCTTGCCTTTACTGGGTAATGCCACCCCAAACGCATCAGAGCAAAAGCTTTTTTCCCCATGCGTGAGAATGCACACAAACAAATGTAAAAATAAACACTGAACGCACGTCGCCAAATTAGCGACATGTACTTTTCCGTGGTTGGCAAGTGTCCGGGAACCCAGCGGGGATCAATAGGGATGCACAGCAAACGTGGGAAGCAAAGTCCTGCAAGCGTGTGGGACGGGAAACACGTGTTCCCGCGACGTGCGTCCCTGCTACGTCCTAGTGAGGAGGTCTTCAGGACATACGAGTCGGTGTTATATCGAAAGCTCCAACTCATTGAGATCTCCAACTACCTCACGTCCGGTGCTCAGAAAGACTGGAGCTCTGTACAGTTACGTTGCACATGCGCGCATAGCGTTTTCAGAATATTTGTCGGGTTTGCCATCTGCTGAATATTGTTAAAATGCAGCTGTACAGAGCTACGTCAGTCTTTCTGTTTTGCAGTCTAACGCCATCTTGTCGAAATTTCCAACTTGCAAGTACCCGGAAGTGAGGTAGATGGAGATTTTGGCGAGTTGGAGCTTTCGATGGAACACCGGCAGGAGGAAACACAGTGTACCGCAGGGGTAACAGGTATTCAACCCTTCAGACTGGTCAAATACTCGCAAAAGCCGGGAAGTAGCAAAGTGGCGGTGTTTCAAGACATGGGCCACTGGAAAGGTAAGTATATTGCCCCCTTTTATTTATTTTTTAGGGGGTTGTACAGGACGCCAGGAGTGGGTCCTGGATGGACGGTATATCCCTCCCTTGTTAAGGTGGTGGTCCCGTTAAGGTCACCTTGTATTCAGAGCCTCCATCCCTGACTACAGACAGTTCTGGTAATGAAAGGGTTAAACCACCAGCCAGAGGGTGTGTTAACAAGGAACAGGAAGCCAGTCAGTCTGGCTGTGTGGAGTGTTTGGAGCAGGACACACGGCTACGTGTGTTAAGCTTTGGAATACAGTGTGCCGAGACACTGCGGGAGGCACCTGCGTCCATACTGAAACCCTCTGTGAGAAGGCTGGGACTCTAACCCTGAGGTGGGACTTCGTATACAGGCGCGAATCTTATGTTTGCTGAATATAAGCCATTTACTTTGACTGTTTGTGGAAATGAATAAAGTTTATTTTCTGATACGGCTGACTACGAGTCATATGCGCCCTGAATATTAAATTCCTGGCTTTAACTTCAGCACTTTATGCATTTTTAATGCAGAACAAACATGGTCAGTAAATTTACCATGAACTTAGAACTCATGACTGTAAGCCTAATGATCGACACATATCTGTCTATAATGTGTAGCAACAAATGGTTAATAACATAGTAAGTGAAATGCAAGAAAGTACATTTTGTAGGACAGCTTTGGTAAAAGAATCACCAAAGACCAATATCAACTGAACACAGAATGGGAAAAAAAATATGAAGCGATTCTGGAGGATAATGGGATTTAAATATCCACAGTGACTGATTGTTAATATATCAGGGACTCCATTAAACGCTGGAGAATGAGCCACCATGTGCAGAAGAGGACAAATGTACTGCCCGGCAAGCCTAAGCTGTCAGCACTCTGGCTTTGTGATCACTGAAACAGTTAACGATCAGACTTCAGTAATCTGAGGTTTTACAAAGCTACGGTATAAGGTCACGAAGGTGTTATCGAGGTAGCAAAACACATTTCTCCCCGTCTCCACTTCTAGCTGGTACTAGATTTTCATACATTTTCACAGCATGTAACCATTGACATCTAATGTCAGACATGCATCCCTTCTACAGAATGTTAGTAATTGCGGCTACTGACTGCAGTTTCTATGGCCAACATCAAAGACGGGGAAAATGATTGCTTTCAGGAAGCTTTAAAGAACCCCAATCACTGATGTCCTACATTGGAGGGGTCCCAACTAAATGCAGCTCCAAGAGTCACACTTATGTAGATTATCTCTATAGAAAAGCATACGAAATGTTATCCTGTATTTTATGCCTGTCGTGTCTTTACAGAAATATACGTACGCTGCCATTCTGAAAATGCTAGCCCCCTGGCTGTCATGCTGACCATTTGGCTTTGAAAGTAATCAGAGTAACGGATGTGGAAGAAGTATGCACATCAGAAGTTTGGCTTCCAATGTCTGCATGCTTGTTCCGGTGAATGAATGAGCTGCTGATAAACAGGCAATGAGCATTTTCAGCAGCTGGCCAGCAAAGACAGCCTACAGGTTTCCTTTAATGCAGAGGATGTTCAGTAAGAAATGCACTGAGCAAATGCCAAAAGGGCAACTGAGAGCCACATATGGTTCACAAGCCACTAGTTGGAGGACCCCATGAAAAAAAAACAACACATTCTTGCAGCAAACACATAAAAGTTTACAACATGGCGGTCTTACCTTGACAATCCGTTGAGGTCTCTTCCGAAACACACGCTGCCAAACTGAGGAATAATTTCAACAAGTTTCTTGGTGGCCTCGGACACCGTGCTATGATAGTCCGCTTGCGTCGTCTTGCACTGGAGCAGTTCCTGCTTGCCGTACTCCTTCAGCCGCTTGTAAAGTGTGCGCAGGCCTTGCGCCGTGCGCAGGGGACGCCCTCCTCCCAAAGCGTTGTACTTTTCTGCGATGATCTCCCAGCAGTTGTTTTTCTCAATGATCACCGAATGTTTGTTGGTGTGCTCCTCTAAAACCCCTATGTATGGCTTCACCAGCCTGAGCAGATCGAGCTTTTCAAAGACTGTGAAATTGGAGGACCGAGCTTTGCCCACCATTTTCAAGCCTTCCTTTATTAGCAAACAGTTCCTGAAACACAATTCAGCCTTGAGCTCTGCACAGCTCTTTTTCCCCCACAGACATACACACAAGGAAAAAAAAAAAAAAAATCAGGCTTAACTAGGTTAGTCTCGCTTAGGCCTACGCCTACCAGGGAGGGTTTATTAAAATTCCTTCAGCTTAATCTGACGCAGGTTCAGAAAATCTGTTTAAGACAGGCCTGACCTACATAATAGCTTGTGAAGAATGCTGAAAGATACCAGTAGGATAAATTACAAAACCACATTGTAATGTTAAGTGAAGAAGACAAGACAAAAAAAAAAAAGAAGAAGAACCTTGTACACAAAAGAGTGACTAAAATATAAGCAGAGATTAACATTGCTTTATACACACACACACCACTTGTGAAACACAAATCAGCCGCAGACATTGCTGATTGTTTATAAGGAGCTAATGCTTATCTTTCCGCATTTATTAACTCGGGCTGAAAGGTCAAGGTACATGTAAGGTTATAGGAGGGAAAAAAAAAAAGAAGCTATATTGAATGATAACAGTGTGACGTGTGTAGGAGAGCCCCTGCCGGAGCCCCTATCAGCCTCTGTTCAGACTTGCAGCATTTGCATAATGCTAGTCCTGCTGTCAATCAGGAGCTCTGCTTCCCCTAGCTAGTTAGGTTACACCCAAGGCTCAAACTCCACAGCAAAGCTCGGGCTCGCCTGCATTTTCCATTCGGCTGAGCCCTGGAGGATTATGGTGTTAGGGAAATTTCTCTAGCCCTCTCCTGTCAAACGGAATAATAAGCAAAACATTCTGCTGTTTGGACAAAAAAATCAGAGGTATTTTTTTTTTTGGGTTTAGCAAGAGCCTGAATATATTTAGTGCTGTTCTCGGCTTCAATTTAATGAGGCTTAACCCCCAGCATGCTGGAGGGACCTCAATCACCTGGATTTTGGACTGCATGGCAGGCAGGGTCAGCTATGCTTCCAGCTGAGACGTGCCAACAAACTGAAAATATATATTGTCGAAAGGGAAGTTTAATCTGTCAGAACAGAAATAGACGTTATGAACACTAGGGATGCACCCATACCGTGTTTTTTGGTATCAAGTACTGATACTTTTTTCCGGTACTCGCCGATAACGAGTACCGATGCAGTGTGCCCAGATTATCAGGAAGTCGGGCGGCGGATGATGACCTGTCGCCCGGCTTCCTGATTGGCTGTGAAGCCGGTGTTCTAGCAAAAGAACACCAGCTTCACATGCCGAGGCTGCCCGGCTTCCTGACTAATCAGGACACGAGTCATGATGTGCCACCTGGCTTCCTGATTGATTGAGGAAGCCAGGATGTTTACCAACAAGTGAAGCTGGCTTCCTATCCAATCAGGAAACCAGACGGCACATCATGACTCACCTCCCAGCTTCCTGATTGGCTAGGAAGCCTTCTTCACTTGTTCCTAGGCAGCCTGGCTTCCTGACCATTCAGGAAGCCGGGAGGTGGGCCATTACATGCAGATCAGCTTCCTGATTGGTTAAGAAGCCAGGCTGCCTAGCAACAAGTGAAGTTGGCTTCCTAGCCAATTAGGAAGCCAAGAGGCAGGTTATAAACGCCGCCCAGCTTCTGATTGGAAAGGAAGCCGACTCCATGCTCTTGTGGTCAAAGAGAGATCTCCCTCTGATCGGAAGTTCTGGTATCGGAGGTAAGTATCGGAGCATATGGGCGAGTACGAGTAATCGCCCAAATACTCGGTATCAGCACCGATACTAGTATCGGTGCATCCCTAATAAACACCGTAAATATAAATATAAATATATATATATGTGAATATATATTATGCACATCTTCCCTCCACCGTGTAGTAGGCACCCTCTATTGCCCTAAAGTGGAAGTGAAGGCAAATAAAATAAATAAAAGCCCTTCTAGAGTGCTTAGCCATGTCATGCTAGCTTGCACAGCATATTAGCACATAATAGCAGACTTACCTGCCAAAGTGATCCCCTCCAACGCAGCACTCCATTTCTCCAACACTTCCATCTTCGGCTCGGTCCTCTTCCAGGTGCCAATTCTTTGTTGATTGCTTAGTTGGCCAGACCCCGATTACCTAAGGGCTTGTTCACACCAAATGCAGACCAGATCTGCATGAGTTTCTGCACACGCAGAGTAGTGGGTTGTGCCGCGATTTTTATGCGTTCCGGGCCGTTTTGGTAAAAAAAAAAATATTTTTTTTGTTTAAAATGGGCTTTCAGTGCGTTTGCATGTGTTCCAGAGCAGGTAAAATAGGGCTTGCTGCAGTTTTTTTTTTACATGCTCTGGAACTGAACGCTGCGGTGTGAACTAAAGCCCAAAATACCATTGGAATACATTGGACGCAGTTTTAATCCGGTCTGTAACTGCTCTTCTCCTGGAACGCGCTTGGTGTGAACAAGGCCTGACTTTTAGGTATCCCGCCACACTCCTGACTGGTATACCCCTTGTTGAATGTGTGCTGAAGTGGCCCTGTGGATGGCACCGCACAAAAATGAAGGAATATAGAATGTCACCAGCACACCAGGGATTTTCACCAAAAAGGCCATTGACATTTAAGTAGTTTGTCAAGTGTAGCCCCTACCACCCTAAGTGGAGTGGCTACTAAAATTTAGGGGGTTATTCTCTAAAGAGCCGAAGAATCCAGGCATAGCTTTGGCTGATCCTTCGGCTCTCTTTGGCTGCCTTAGGGTTAGCCAAAGGGCACGAACGGCAGCGGCTCAGCCGATCCAGATGTTGAGTCGAAGTCCTTCTGCACTTCGGCTCAGCCGAAAATGCAGAGCATGTTCGCGTGACCGAAGGCAGTCGAAGTACGGCTGATTTTAGCCGATGTACGGCTAAAATCAGCCGTACGAAATCAGCCGTACAAGACTAAAGTGAATAGCCGAACTGCGTTCGGCTCACTTCAGCGTGTACATGTGCCCCATTGGGAAGTACCTGATCAGGATGGAGGGCATGAACGGAGAAGTTGATAAAGTACTGAAGGGCAGTTTGAGGGTATGCATGTAACTCACATCATTTTCCCCCACCTAACAGCACTGGTGCAAGGTGATTGGCTTCTCAGCCAACAGGGTGCTGTCACATGAGGTCCGGAAGAGATGCCTTTGACCAGTGTAAACTCCATGTTGTGACGTGTAGCTTACACAGGGTATACTCCCATTTCCAACAACAACAAAAATAGTGGCAAGAATACACAAAGGAAGGCAAGTATGTGAACCTCTCTATTCAATGAGTCTGGGAAGTCAGCATTCAAGTTTCATGGGTGCTGTCCACTGTTTTTAGACCACATTGTAGTCTCCCCCAGCAGTGCATTGCTTGGTAAGAATGAGCAATGGAGGCTTACCTAAATTCCAAACAATTAAAACAGTCAGACTTAATATGGCAAATTTGTTTCGCACTGATTAGAGCTCTTGTACACAACAATGAGGTATATTTTATGAAAGTAGTATTACACACTTTCAATAATGAATCCAGATAAAACAAATATACATTGCCAAGCAAAGTATTTCTTTACATTTTTGCCCAAGCACTTACAGTTGTCATGTTTTTAAACAGCTCCAACTCTCTCAGCTCGGCTTCCCTGAACTTCCTGCCCAGTACAAGATCATAAGGGACAGAGCAGTCTCCAGCAGCCGTCCATCTACTAGCTTGGAGAAAGGAAAAGTCGGGGAACAGCGGAGAAGTGTGCCTTGTTGTGTGTTTGTAGAGACACACATACAGCTTACTAGCACACAAGGGTGACTGAATAGGACCCTGCAAGGGAAAGGAGTCACCCTACAGGATATCAAGGTCAATACTCAGGTGACCAGATGATTCTGCAGGAAACTAAAAACAGTAGGGTGCAATCACACCAGCCGATGTGCTACATCAGAAAGGAAATAGTGTGCACTGCTCGTCACCGATGTGCCGATCCCAGCACATCACACTGTTTACTTTTTTTTTTGAGAACTTTACAAATGACATTTCATTAAGTTCTATGGGCACAGCATGGTGCGAGGCGGTTGTACCATGCCGCGTCCTACTCCGTAGTACTTTTTTTCAGCGTACACCATCGCAATGTGAACTGTGCCCATCTGTGACAAGGCAAATTGCCTCATGTTGCGTTGGAGCTGCATTGGAACATACGGCCAGTGCAGCCCCCAAGGAGATTGGGCCCCCGCTTTAGTCCTTGTACAAGTAGTTTTTTTTCTTCTTCAATTTCCACACCCCTGCATCTGGTGGGAAGGGCCTCAGGGAGCAGCATTCACTGTAAGTGATTTAATCAGCATCTGAAATACTTTGCCTTTAAATACACAATAAAAGATTCCAGGGATTCACTAGCCAGCAAGGGGACCTGTCAAATCTGTTTCTCTATATGCAATAATATACACAAAACATTGTAAAATGACTGATTGCAAATATGGATACACAAGTGACATGTTTTAATTCAGCTTTGTGTATGCGTAATGTGTAATGCATTGCTGAATAAAAATAAGTGTAAAAAAATAAATTAACAAGCACCATTTCATGTCAATGCACATACGGTATAGCACAAAATGCAATCAACAAGGCAAAAATATTACATCCTAGTAAAATGCTTTTATGTACGAATCCACACATTAGTAGTACCCAATCTTCGGAGCATGTACCATTTACTGCAGAGGACAGAGCCTAGAGACATGCCTGATGAAGGAGTCCTGCACAGCCCCAAAATGTTGCACTCCTATGTGATCCTTCAATAAAAGCTTGGTATTTTGAATAAGCTCCGAGGTGCACATTTAGTCTATATTCTAAACTGATAACAATCAGGAGGGGAG